GGTGCGTTCACACCTCCCCAAACGAACTGGACTTTCTAGGAAAACAAGTTAGAGTTTGATTAAAGCGGACTAAACAGGGCTAGTGTGAATGCACCCTTGGTCCCCAACCGAACCGAGTCTACCGGCCTATCAGGTGTGAATGCACCCTTAGCTAGCAATTTGGAAGATTTTCACCACAGCAAAATTAACAAAATCAAGAGCCATAAATTATTGTTTTTAAAATTGTAAAAACACAAGTGAATTAAAATAGAAACCCTAATCAAACATTAAGTAACATCAAGTTATCAAGGCCTGCTTTAGTCAAATGTCAATGTGCAGAAGTAGCTCCTTGGTTTCTAAGTTTTAAACAGTTTTTGTAAGAATAAATAACCACATAAATCAAAATGTAGCTCTTCTTGAAATGCATATCACCTGCAGCCTTGCATGCCAAAGTTTGAAACTAATATTTTATGTGATCTGCTTGATGAATATAATATACTAGTACAAAAATCTAGCTCAAAATCTGTACATTTGACAGATTTATAGACATGTTTGTGTTTTCTAAGGTTTATTCACTGTGACTAGCCACTGGAATCAGGTTGACTCCAAAAGTTCATCAGTGTAGATTTACATCCAGTGGTTACTTTCTGAGAGTTTCAGATCTCCCTGGTTCATGGGATATTTTGCTAACTGATAGCTGTACAGACAATGGAAGTGGTGACACAGAGATAAGAGAAGGTGGGCCTGTGATTGGAAGATCGCTGTTTCAACTCTCAGTACCGATAACATCAAAATATGGGTGGGATAGGTGAAGCACCCACATCTGTCTCCACCCACTCTGGGCCCCTGAGCAAGGCCCTTAACCCCCACCATCTGCTCCCCTGAACACCCTAGACAGTAGCTCTCTGCTCCACACAGAGGGCTGTGGTAGCTCGATGGTCTGTGGTTGTGTCAGGAAGGAGGACATCCGGTGTAAAAATAATTGCCAAGTCTTCATGTGAGTTAGTTCACTGTGGTGATCCCTGAAGAAGGGAGCATCTGAAAGAAGACAAATAAAATAGACGTACAGACAATTACATGATCGTTGTCTATTTGTGGCCACAGTTGATAATCAGGAGCAGCAGCTGCAAAGGCTCAATCACTTCTACTTTTGAATGTTGGAACATCTGTTGTTCTGGATATCGTAAAATATGTTAAAAGTCCTGTAGATAAAATACATCCACATCTTTAAAAATAACAATAAAATCTTAAACAAACAGGAAGTCAGCACTGATGTTCTGCTTTCTTGTTCCTGTTAAACAACAAGGAGTACTCTTCTGTTCTGCCTGCAGTCAGTGGAGTCAGCTAATCGTTGCTCTTGTTCAAAAATTACATTTGATCTGTTTTGAAATAAAAGCATATCTAACATGTTTGATGATTTAATCTGGCTTTAAGTTGTAACTTAAAAAAAACAACAACCTTTGACCACAGTTTTGATGCATATAATAAATTTAAGAGCTGTTGAGGTTTAGGAGGCATGGGGCACGTTTGGTTGAGCTGCTGCTTCTCAGTGAGAAGGTTGCTGGATCAAATCCCAGTCAAGACCTTTCTGGGTGGAGATTTGAGAATCCAAGCGAGTGTGTAGATTTACATTTTGTTGTTAATTAAAGGTCTAACAGTCATTGCAGGACTGGACTGCATGTAACCCACTGCCTTTCCTTTGATAACATGAGGTACTGTACACCACTGTCCCCTTTCCAAGGGATTTGAGTAGTGGATGTTTATTGATATCAAGAAAAGTTTTTCATGTTTTTCTGGACTTAAATAAACAGGAGTCGCAAGTAAACAGTAAATGGTTTTAGTGCAAGGTATTCAAATGAGTAGGAGTAGCGCTGATATAGCAGAGTGATGGACCCTGGCGAGTGGAGAAAAAACTGTTATCCATGACCAGGTACAATGGCAGAGCCAGGGGGTGATAAATGGTGGCCCTGGTCATCATAGATTAATCTTCGGGGACCCCAAGGGCCACCTCAATCATTTTAGGAAACAATACATTTCAGCAAAATTAAAACTAGAACGGGGCGGCAGGTGGCTCAGTTGGTAGAGCTGTTACCTCTCAGCGAAAAGGTTGCCGGATCAAATCTCAGCTGGAGGCCTTTCTGGGTAGAGTTTGCATTGTTTCTCTGTGCAGGTATGGAATTTCTCTCAATGCTCCAGTTTCCTCCCACAGACCAAAAACATGCATGCTAGGCTGATGGTAACTCTAAATTGACCCATGCGAGTGAATGATTGTCTATGTGGTGTCCCAGTGATGGACTTGTGACCTGTCCAGGGTCTCGTTTGTCTCACGCACAGTCACTGCTGGATATGGGCACCAGTGGCCCCCGCGACCTGAAAACGAAGAAGCGGGTAAAAGATAACGGCTGGCCTGATGTTGAAATTTACACCAAACATTATCTGAAGTCAAGGGCCTGAAATATATCTGGATTACCAAATAAAACGGATGTAATTTGCCAAGCAGTGAAACTAGATTTTACAGATTCCAAAGCTAAACCCTAAAGGCAGCACATAAAAACAAAACAGAGCCTTGAGGAACCCCATATGTTAAATGGAGCTGAAGCTCATGTTTGTGTTTGTGTCAAAAATTCTGTCTTTGATGTAGAACTGTGGATGTTTTTGATGCTTTTTCTTCTACAAAAAGTTTCTGTTGATGTTAGAAAGTCTCTAGAAAGATGAGCTTAATTTATTGGTCTGGATTTAAGTGTAGGGTCTCAGGCTCTTGTAGTGGGGAACAGAACAAGAACTCGATTAGTGGACTCGAGCTCAATGACCCAGCCCGTGAGCCTCTAACAGGATTATCGGTCATCTGCTCCAGCTCAACCATTCAATGGTTGTTAGGCTGCTCTCAGCTGTTTTTTTTTTAATCCAAAATACAACTTGATCCTCTTGAAGAATCATGAAGTTAATCAGTTTTAACCCTCTTGTTGTGCTCATTCCTTAACTACTTTTCTTTTCCTGCTAGAAAATGACCATTGAAATATATCTGATTATAAATATATGATGCATATAACTAGTTGTTTATGCACAAAAATAATCTCAGCTAAGGCTAGGGTGACACCATTGCATCAGTAGGAATTGCATTATTAACTTTGACTCATGACTGTGAGTCATCGCTACACTTTGCTTCACTCCAAGCCTCTACATTTTGGTAAACATTGAAGAACCCTCAGAGCAAAACTCTGGACCACAGACTATAGGACTGAAGAAGTCAGGGAGATGCAGAGACTGGTTCAGTGGGTAGAATGTGATTTAAGCAGTGGGGCAACTCACATCAAAACATCAATCCATTGTTGATTAGGAACCAAAAGACAAGTTGCAGGCAATAAGGAAAGATTCCATTACAACAAGTCCTTCATGGGTTTCCCATGAAAACTAAAAAGAAAAGTGAGGTAGGAGTGTGTATGTGTGTGAATACTTTCTAAACTAATTAGGGATGCATGATATTATCGGCATGGGATCGATATCAGCCGATATTAGCGATAACGTTAAATATCGGACATCGGCCATTCCATAAAAATAACTCACTGATATAAAAGGTGCTGTTTATTTATATATATA